ACACTAATGCCAGATTTCCAGGGATCAAGTAAAACATTCTTGTTGCTGGATTCCTAGCATTTGTTCATTCTATTCGGCGGGTTTTTATTATGCTTGAAGCTGACAGAAAATTGCTATAGCCAATCACCAAAAAGTGCTTATTTTTTTATGATGTTTTATTTTCATTGCTCAACATTAACATAATGAAACTTCAGATTTTTCTATTAAAACAATGCAGTACATGTGAAGTGTCATGATGAATGACAATTTCTTGAGATATACATTTTGGTGCTTGTAAAATAAAGATTGACACTAGAGCTTCCAGGATTGGATACTCTCCAATTATATTTAGATGCTTTATACAAAAGCAAACACAACAGACACACATGTGTATGTATAATAGTCCTAACCAGAAGAAAATTTATAAAGTTACTTATTAGAGCATTGTATTTTTATTAATATTATTCTGCATCTACTAAGCTTCTTTTGCTATGAAAACCCCCAGGCATCAGTCCTTTGAACTGATATTTGCTTTTGTAGAATGTAATGCTTATGATCTGTGATTGCACATCATTGTAGATTCTCAAAAGCTGTACATGGAATATGAGAGATTTTTTCAGAAGCAGTCAGCCATCAGGAATATCCTTAATTTTCTTTTGTGTGGATAGCAAAAAGTTGGTGAACCTGAACATTTTTTTTCGTGAGTTTCTGATCCTTTCACTATGGTCATCTCACAGATGTGAGGTGGTGTCTCATTGTGGTTTTAATTTGCATTTCCCTGACAATAAGTGATGCTGAATATTTCTTCATGTGCTGTTGGCATCTCTATGTCTTCTTAATGAACTTAAGTACTTCTGCTTTGAATCATTTTTGGTAAGATGGCACATAAATTAAAATATAATAATGGCAAGGGAAGACATGGAATGAAAGCCTGAAATTAAAACCCAAATGTTGTGGGAGACATAGGCTACTACAAATAAGTAGCAGGTGTCAAAGTTTCAACTCTTAGGCAAGTAGGTAAGAAGAAACCAATGGGACTGAGGGCTGAGGTCCTTCAGCTTTGCTGTCAGGAATCACATTCTTTGTTCTGTGTGTGCAGGGGCTGCTGTCAGGCTGTGACCTCTCCAGGGAAGGGTGTATTCTAGACAAGGAAAAAAGCAAAGCTGTTTGGATAGGAAGGGTACTGGGGTTAGACACTCTTGGTCCCTGGTAGTCACTATGTGATCTTGGGAAAGTCACTTCATCTCTTTTAGACTTGGTTAAGTTTTCTCATCTGAAACAGGAAAATGGGGTTGTATTGTTTTAAGGTGCAATGGGATGAAGCAGCAAAATTTACCCAATGCCTGGCATCCAGTGCTAGTCAAAGGATGGTTACTACTCCACACATCAGATTGGTGTTGCTCTTATTCCAGGCAAAGACTTTGTGGGCCACTCATTGGCTTGCTGGTGTTTCTCACACAACACACACACACACAACACACACACACACACAATTAGTTTAATTTAATAGTTAGAATTTTGATAATAAGTGTAGTATTCTTGGAAATCGAACATTTACTATATGACTGACATGGTGATGAATACATATACTTTGATCTGTGTGGTTCATGCACACACACACACACAACTTCATTTTATTCTTTTTAAACATTGTGAACTAGATACAACTATATTGCCATGTAAAGAGTGAGGAAATGGTGTCAGAGAGCCTAGGATTTTTGGTCCAACATTTCTCATTTATTAAGTGATAGGATTCAAATCCAGGTTGTCCCAGAGCCCACATATATAGGAAAGAGAACTGCAGACTGAGTGTTAAATGGATGCAGATAATTCATTTCAGTGAGTCACAAGTAGCCTAGAGCACTGAGAAAAAAATGTCAACCACAGAAAAAGTCAGAGAAAATGGTGCTTAATACTGTAGAAGATCACTTGCAGAAGTGAAGCCCATGATTTTGTATACATTTACAATGACCATGATTTATATTTGTCACAGTGTCTTTTCTCTGAGGCTCAGTTTTCTCAGTTGAAAATGAGCTTGTTGGACAAAATGAACTCGAAGGTTCATTCTCTGGTTCCAACCTCCATTTTCTTTTTTGCATTCTAGTCAGTTGTGAATAACATTTCTTACTTCTCCACATCTCTCTCAGAGAGGGTCCCACCCAATGTTTGGTCCTTATATCTCAGAGTTATAAGTTGATAACTAGCTCTACTACCTATCAGCTTGCCCATCTCTGACGAGGGGTTTGGTGTTGGTACAGAGGGAAGGAGACTGGGAAACGTGCTGACCAAGGAGATCCCTTATTAGTTGTGGGAGCAACCAACATAATGTTGGCAGGACTCTGTTCTGTGAATGAACTCTTCTGTGAATATCCAACAAAAAAATCCATGTAAATGGAAACATTACATATTTTAAGCCAGTGACCTAACTTTTTCTTTCTTAAAATTTTGGGTTTCCTGCTACTAAAAAATGAAGCATGGACTGAAACAGAAGGCTTTTAGCCTCATCTGAATGGTAGGTTAAGTTCACGGTCCAGAAGAAGGGTGGTAATCAGACTCTTGTTCAGGAAGCAGTCTATTATTTCAGTCCTAATAACAGCCTCAGAAAAGAGGCCTTTTGCTTTGCCTGCATCAGTGGTAAAATATGCTGGAGACACAGCAATGGACCATGCGAATGTGGAGCTGAGATTGGAGCAAGGGCAGCATTGTTCAGTGAGTCCTTGACAGGGCGGTGATGTGGCTGAGTGGACCAGGATCAGAAGACTGGACTTCCAGGTCTGGCCTCAGCCCTCACATCATCTCTCAGCTGCAGTTTTCCTTCCCCAGCAAGGTGGAATTCTTGACAGGAGCTGTGAGCTACCTCTTGGTATCACAGGCTGTCCTGCCGAATAAGATGATGTGCTGTGTACTCTATAAATCAGATGTGAAGTAGTTCTGTAACTGGCTTCATTGTGAAAAAGCTTAGTTGAAGGCACTTTTACACAACTACAGCAACATTGCTAAAATAAAAACTGCATCAAAGCAGGGTAAGTGTTCACAGAGAAGAATGGCATAAATAACAAAACAAGTAGTCAGATTGTACTGGATTTAAGTGCTGGAGAGGTTACATTGTAATAAAGAGGAAAGTTGGCAATGGAGTCAGTTAAGGTAAATTTCTGTATTTACTAAGTTATCTTAACATTTTAATAGCTTGGAAATGTACAGAATGAACTGGCTAATGGGATTTTTGAAAAAAAAAAAAAAAAAAAACGTAGGAAACAATTACAATGGAAAAGGTTGGACGCTTGAAATAACTAAATGTTAAATTCACACTTAAAACTATGTACTTATCCAAATTACCATGAATATTACTTTATGGTAGAAATTACCTTAGAAAATTCTAGTGTCTTCTTTGTATCTTGAATCACTGTGTTAAGCACTCAAATAAATGTCAGGAAAATGGACTAACTCACCTGATTGGTGCCCTTTGCTGGCTGAGCACCTCTGGTGGCAGGAAGCACAGGCCCAGGACTACCAGCAGTTTGGACCACATCATCTTTGTGGTCATACACGTTGTAGGACTTTTTGTTAAGCATCCTTGGCCTCTACTCACTAGATGCCAAAAGCACCTCTCAGTTGCAACAATAAAATTGCCAGATAGTGCCAGATGTGCCCTGGAGGAAAAAGCCATTTTCCTGCTCTATAGTGATATCAGCCTTTTCAGCTTTCAGAAACCCAAAATTTCTGGATAGGAACTTTTGTTAGAGGTGTTATATTATAGAGGTTTAAATGTTGTGTCACTTGCATATCTCTCATATTAATGCTTAATAGCTAACTTTTTTGCTTTGGTTTTGTTGTGAAGATGCATAATCTTTATTGAGGGAACATTGGTTTATAACAATGCATATGATTTAGAGGAACAGGTTCACACCTGCTCAGATGTATATTACCATCCTATCCCCACCATTCCAGCACCCATAGTACTTTACCATAGGCCACTGGGCCCCCTCACCTCTCTGTCCCCACCCCCACCTTTTCTCCCTGTGTAGTAGCCACAATTCTAAGATACACAATTTTCTTCATGGTGAGACAATGTACTTCCCAGGAGTGGGATTGGGTTATATTTTTAGGGGTCCCTTCTAACTTTTCAGTCTCTTACATTTTTATCTACCTCCTGTGTTTCATCACTACATCTTCTCAAGTATTTCTCAAAGTACATAGAAACATAACTCTGCTTGGCTGTCCTTCTTGTACTTTGAAATTACTAGTACTCCCAGGGAGCTCAGCTTCCCCTTGTATCAATAACTCCTGTATCTTTTAAAAGACATATTTTCTTATCATCTTCTAGACATCCAGGCATATCTGAGGTCAACTTTTTCATCTTTTCCTTTTTTTTTTTTGCCTCATCTGCCAATCAGTCAACAAGTTGTGTTATTTCTAAATCTGCAATTTCTCTCCTACTTCTCCTTTTAAATCAACAGGGTCTCAAAGACAACCCCTAGCTTTTACTTGGATAACTGATACTGTCTACGGTGTTTCCATCCTCTGGTCTTTCTCTATCATGTGTATTTTATACAATTAAACTAATATCCTGGAAACACCTCAGCCCAACAGTTCTTCAGTCCTCTAAAGACCAACCTTAACCTTATTTCTTATCACTCAAGCTAAAATTAATTTCTCTTTAATCTTTACTTCTTTAGGATGTTATTTCTTAATTTCTTTGAATGCTGTCATTTATATCATATCATTCATGGGTATATGTGGGTGTTTTGATAATTTGGATTAACATCTGAGAAAGAAACAAAATACCCTATAAAGACTGAAATATACATGGGAATATAAGAATCTACTTCTAAAGTATGCTAAAGTTACTTCAAAGATTATTTTAAAGAACTACAATATACAGATGGTTATAAAATGCATCCCTGATGTTGATAGTGTTTATTTTGTTTCTTGGAATTTAACATACAGCAGGCCTTCTTTACCTCCTCATCTTATGGTAGGACATGAATATGTAAATGTAGTTTCCATATTTTTAAAAAATTGCACATGAATCTTAATCTGTATTCCACTTCAATGGGTATTAAAAATACTTGTTTAGGAGAGGCTCACTCTACAGAGTTCAAATATGGAGGGAACACAGAGGATGAGATAGAGCCATGATCACTTAGTGGCACTTAGTGCCACAGCCATGGGTCCTTTTATTGGAGGAAAGTGAACACATGTTGAACTTGCTGCTTGTCATCAGGAATGCTAAAGCACTTTCATGGGAGAAGGTCTTGGCTTGAGACCAGGTTGGTAGTAAATATAGGCCATTACCAATTGATGTCTGTTTGATAGCCTGTGTGAAATGAGGTGGTGGTCTCAGCCGAGTTATTAGAAGACAGGTGTCTACAGCTCAAACATCATGACATTTGGCACTAATTGGCACCTTTGTTGGGAGTCTCAGCAGAGAAACAGAGGAGTCAGTTGGGGAACAGGAGAAATGATTGTTGTCCCACTTTCCAAGAGTTTCTTCAGGTAATGGAAAATTCCCCTGCTTAAGATAAAGAAGTCTTCGGGATCTATGCAGAGACAAATGCAAGAAGAATAAAATTTTCAGAGGATGTAAACATTTCCAATAGGAAAGGACTTTTTTTCACTTATTTGTCCACTGTCACTCTTTATTTCTCTTTCCTCTCCCCCATCTCCTTACATTTTGGAAACTCACTTTTGGCTCCACATTCTCCTTCCTTATTGAAGGGAACACAATCTGAGAAGAAATAATAGCTACTTGGGTATCTCTTATATTCTTTTATCAGTTTAGCCTCAGACCTCTTCAAGTTCCAAGTTTCCCCCCCTATATTTATGGTATTTCACTTTCCATGTACATGAAGGAACAGAGCATATCGATTCAATAACTATCCATCCAGCCGTGGTGTATTAACTCGGTTGTGTTGGGATACATGTTTCTTATACTCTGCTATCCATCTCCCCCCACTGTTCTGAGCTCTGTGAAGATAAGACCCTTACTTGATTCATTACAGCATACCCAGCACTAGGTACCATGCAGAATATACTTTAGGTACTCAGTAAGTAAAAGACACAATGAATGAATGAACAAATGACTGCATGTATTCTTAGCTTATGAGAGACATGTTGACATATAGAAGAGAAGTAAGTAAGTAAGGAGTAAATGTAAAAGAGACAGATTTAAAGGACAGAGTGGAAGGAATTTGTAATTCTGCTCTACTTGGTGCCTTTGAAATTCTCCCACTCACATTTTGAATGGTTGCTTAGTGTTCCAATCCATGCAAACCATCTTACACAATTGCTTTGTAATCGTCATAATTTAGCTTTATAACTGACGAGCCTGCTTCAATGTCTGTTTATAAGGGAATTTCTGTGTCTCCATCAGAGTTCATAGTCTCATCACTGCTAAATACAGCGGTTTTCATTTTATGTGAATTAATGATTTAATGAATTAGATTTTGATTATCCCAACAAATGAAATTATTTAAAACAAAAGGGAGAATGTCAGAAATAGGAAAACCATGACTATAATTTTGCACTGCAAATGAATATAGAACTGTTTTGCTCATGTGTTTGAACTCGGTAATGTTTCCAAGTGTTTTGTTGTTTTTCAAAATATAATCTATCATCATGAAAATTAAAAAAAACACTCTTAAAATTATAAGCTTATAATTTGCTGTCAAAATATGGCTAAAGAGAGAACTTAATTTCATTCTGACTGATTATCTATTTGAATGAATTACTAATATTTAAATTGGCTATTATGTATAGCAAATTAATATAAATTAGTATATGTTGACAAAATATATGGAAGAGTATATAGAAAGTGATATTTTTAAATTCTTAAATTATTTAAGATTGTTGGCTAGTTAATTTCTTTCTTTCTCTATATGTGAGTTTAGTTAAATGCTTTCTCTGTACATGGATTTTGACTAGTATAGTTCCCCTAGAGATATTTATGAGAAAAAACTCCGTGTCACCTAAATATTGATTAGAAAACACTTCACAAATATAACCATTTTCATGTTATAATTTGCAGAGATATATTTTGTTAGTTCAACATTATATATTTGTCAATCAAATAGTAGAATACTTTTTAAATAGTGTTTGCTGTCAGGAGTATGCTGTATGTTATTACAGTCATGATTATAGGGTATTTGTCAGAGGTAAGGGAAAATCCAGATGTTCAGTTTGAGATACAAGCCCATATATATTTGAAACTGAGGCAAATCAATAGATATATTGCATTCTTCAATAGCCAAACCAGAAACACAGATGCACCATTGCATTCATTTATTCCTTAATTTTATAGGTAATTTAAATATCTTGAATTGTGAACTAAATGGCACATGTAAAGCAGGATTCCTACCAAGATTACAGCTTAGTGCAGAGTTCACATGCATATTATTGATGTGTTAGAAAATTCAGATCAGTTTCATCTTATAGAAGTTTCTGCTAAGAACTTACCAAAATTAATTTTCAGTAAAGCATATGATATTGCAGACCCCACAGAATTTCTATTAACAATAATCAATTTTTAAGCTGATCAATGTGGGATTCACTATCTCAGGCATCTCAATATGTTATGCTTTCATGCCTCTTGATACCATTACTAAAACTCATTGGATTTATTTCCTTGCTGCTTATTGCAATAGTCTCTAGAAAGCAAAGCCCATAGAGTGGTTTTAAATTTCATCCCTTAATTCAGTTTATGGGGCCTCACCTTCAAAGTTTTTACATTCCCTTAAGAGATATTTGTGCTTGCCTCTTTTTTTTTTTTTTTTTTTTTTTGATGGAGTTGTAATTAGTCCTGGGAAGCAGTTGTTTCCAATTAACCGGGAGGAGAAAATCACAACTTAAGTTTTATAACAAATCATTAGCCATTCTGATATCAGACCAAAGTATTATGAATTTCTGTGATAAATCTGCTTTGTATTAAAAAAAATAATTCTATTATTTATTTGTGACTACTACATTTTTGTTTTGTTGGTGATTATTGAGAAGATAGATATCTTTTTTTTGAGTTACAGAGGGACAGAATTTCTATCAGGAACATACACAGCATTTGCTGTGTAACGTTTATTTCACACAATAAAATACAAAACACACATTCAAAGGCTGTAGCTTGCATTTAATGGTCACAGCATTAATTTATTTTTAGCTAATGTGTTTAAATGAAGAACATCAAAGTCCCTTTTTTAAAAAGACAAAGATGGTGACTATTTTAATAAAACAGCCATCTGAATCCATTTCACAGTTGACGACTTCATACTACAGTTCTGAATAGTGGTGGTCTCTGCCCCTGATACTTAACTTAAAAAGTTAAAATTGTAATTACAAAAATTTAGGATTCCAACATTTGGAATTTATATACTTAATATATATATTTTTTTTGCATGGGATTTTCCTTCTGTTTGACAAATCGTTCATTTAGATACTATTTACTATCTACCATTAGTAAATACTTACAATTAGCAAATATACCAATACAGTAAGAATGTGCTGCAACTTATCTTTGATGATCATAAATTTTTTAAGGAAATGAAAAATGAAAACTGGCATTTAACATGAAATAACTTTTGCTATGATACTCCAGGATATATAAAAGTCATCTGTAGTTATTATTTTCTTACATAGTTCAAAATACACACACACAAACAGATGTAGACAAAATACTGTATGTGTAGCTCACATTAATACTAGTAGAACAAAAATGGACACTTTCAGGCCTGAAATGTGGCCCCTCAGGGTGTGATTTAATCAAAATTTTGAAAAACTCTCTTAAAGCTGGAGGAGGGAAGCTGACCTTGGAAGTCAGTTTTGTCTTTTACAGTGCTAAAATTCATCAACATGTAATGAAATAGATTCAGTAAATTTTATCAATAGGAATTTATATTTCATGTTTAGACTCCATATAAAAACTGAACAACCTTTGGTTGAAGAGAATGGGTGAATTCTGTGCCTTTTAGAAAACACTCTGAGTTAGGTTACACAACTCCTTTGCTATTTGGGAACCAGATTAACAACTTTTTGCAGGACCTCTTATGAAGTGTGTATTTGTGTCTGGGGAAGGGGCTAAATTGGAGTAGAGGGAGTTGTCAATTTCTACAACATGCCTATATGATGAAAAAATTTATGTAGAATGTTACCCTGTTGTTTGTCTGATATATTTTCCCTTTAGATGCAGCAAAAAAGTTTGCTTGATGTCTAATCAAGCAACACTGCTTCTTCAGATTTGAAGGAGAACCCAGAAAGTTAGTCTTTTTTATTCTTCTTCATTTAAGTATTATTTTTTAATTGCAGCGTATTAAACATAAAATCTGGTACAATCTTTAAAAATAAATAGGACCTAACTATAAATGGGCCCTGTTGTGTTTTTATCTTTGACAAGCAAGTAATTGCTTCTCAAATTTATCAGTTTGTTTATGCAAAAACCATTTACCAAGCCTAGCTCAAAAGCATCAATTTCATCATTATCATCTTATTAATTTAGCCAAGCTATAACACAGCTGATTATTCCTGAGTAATATCCTCTGCAGCACATCATGTGTGGCAAAACCATCTGTACAGTACCTATTTAATAAATAAACCCTCGGCTAAATGTCTCTGTTTATTGAGAACTAATGTTTATAGAAAATATAATGGAACTCAATAAATAACTCAGCTTCATCAACCTGCATATGAATCAGTGCGAAGAACGCTGACATCATCACCTTTCAAGTACCAGAGAAAGCAAAATTACCCAAAAGAGCTATAGAGTCAATATTAAGGCATTAAAACTGCAATGAAGGCATATTAATGCTTAAAACTTCATTGTTGGCAGTGGAATTGGCACAATGGACATATTTTATAACTCTAGGAATACTTAGGCTTTATGGCTGCTTCTTTGTTGACTGCCTTGCACTTAATGTAGTTTTCCACTTTAAATAAAAAAAACCCTCAAGATCTTTAAAAAAAAAAAAAAACCAAGAAAATTGCTGATTCTAAGCATTCATTTTTAAAATAATGCAAACTGCTGATTCCAATTGTTCAGATTTAAGAAAAAAAAGCCAGCTTCTTTAACTCCATGCTTCCTGAATTTATATTTGTAGCAACTAGCTGTTTTGAAGCAAAGGTTTTTTAAAATGTTACCATTTAAAAAAATATTATTCTGAATTAGTGTTGAGAATGTGAGGTTAGAACATTTTGCAATGACAAGCCAAGTTAACACATATTGGACAATTATTAATAGTATATGTTAATGTTATGCATGCCCTAAATTTAAAGGTGCATGATGGTTTAATGTAGTTACTTTGAGTCTCATCACTATGATATTAATAATTTGAATAATTATAGTAGTACACATCCAATAAAGCAAGGTGAATTGTCTTGATACTGATCAAGAAAATGGGTTCACATCTGGTAACTTGTTTTGAAAGTCTACATGTCCACATCTTACTTTCTAAAAAAATAAGTGTTTATATAAAAGAGAAAAAGAAAAACCAAAGAAAATTATCTTATGTCTAAGGGATGGCCCTCATTGATCTTTAAATGCGACTCTACTTTTGAACATTATTAAGGTCCACTTCTACCTTGAAGCCTCCTTGTCATGCAGCTTAAAATCTTTCCCACCCTCATTGTCCAGAGAACTTCAGATTTTTAGGAAGACCCAACCCAGATACAATTTAAAAGTGATGGAAACAGTAGGCACTGACCTGTTGCTATGGGCACTTTGGCTCAATCTCCAGGCCTTGCTCTACTTCTACTCACTGCCGCTGTGAAACCCACCAGGCTCACTCTTTTCCTCATGAATACTTGTGTGCTCACACTTTGAAGACATTTCCTAGGGCCAGAAGAGCTTTGTAAAGTTTGAAAAATAAGGGCACTGTTGCTGATATGCTTTGAAATGTCAATCTAAAAGCAAAGTATTTTTTGTTTTGTTCTGATGTTGTTCAAAGCATTTGTCTCACTAGACATGGGGAACAACGTGTTATAACTCAAAAGGGGTAGGAGCTCTAATCTGCAGACATCAGCTTTCTCTCCTAGATTCTGTTTCCATTATTCTAGATGTACAATTAAAAACTATTTTTTTTTTTCAGTGTTTCAATTTATGCAGCGGGCTCTGTGGTTTGCACAGAGACTACCCATTCCCCAAACCTAGGAAGGCTCGGGGGTTATCCTCTAACAGAATCCCGGTACCTCCTAAATTAGTCAAATGCCTCAAACAAAATGAACACCACATCAAAAGAGTAGAAAGATAGTGAAATGGTGCCAGTAATTGCCTTGTGGGGCAACTCAGCTTAAACAACTTAAAGCTTGCAAACACTGCACCCACACGATCCAGAAGAATACTTTTGTTCCAGGGTTTAAATTGCAAGCTAGGGAGCCAACAACTCTGAAACCCCTCTGTTTGGAAGCCAGAGCACGCAGTATGCCTCTGACATACGTCTATAAGTAAACCTGCATCTGGCACGTCAGCACTTTTGAATAGCTTGGGTTTGGTCACCAAAGTCAATTTCCCACATATTTTGTCACAACCAGGCTCAGATCAGCAAAAACACTGTTGGACTAACAGATTACATCTTCTTTAAAATGACCTGTGGTTTAAAACAGAGAAAATGGAGCAGCACTAACAAACGAGCCTCAAACTATCAAGTGTCTCACACCCAGAGGACTCCTGAGATTAAGCAAAGTAAATTTTTATCTATTTGTTCTGAGTCTACTTCAATGTCTAGCCTCCCAGTGTGTAATCCATAAAGTCACTTTCATTCCATTTTAAGAAATCAATTTTAAATATTTATGATGAGAGGTGATGTCAGGCCTTACCATTTGAGGCAAGAAATCAAAATACCAATTCCAGTCATCCACCCTGTGATGGGGAGCAGAGGGACTGTTGTAGAAGCAAGGAGACGGGCCCACCATAAAACATGAGGAATTGGTATATTTTGAATGCATTGGCCTGCTACAACTCCCAAACAAATCTACCTCCATCTAGTCCTTAGGAATCATTTTTAAAAGAGTAGTAATTTAATTTATATCTACTAAGAACCAATAGCAAGGGCTGATGAGCACAACAACCCACAATTCAGGGTTGTAATTCCAAAGCCACAGATGCAAAGACAAACCTTTCCCATAGGCTGCAAACATTCCTGGAGAAATCCAGGAATTGGTAAATCTGATGTATATCTGTGGAAAATTCCTGCCTTGATAAAGGAAAATTATTATGAAATAGGTGGTAGAGTTCTTGTTTTTCTCTAATCTTTACAGGAATAGAAGAATTTATAATTTCAAAGACAATACTACAATAAGTACCCATAAGGGAATGGCAGTTACAGTTGGAGGATTTCAGACATAAGAAAATATATTCATTTGTTCATTCAGTCAGTTGTCCAACAATATTTAAAAATCAGGTGTTTATGTTGTGCTAGGCATTGGGATCCAATAGTGAACGCAAGGAAACAGTCCCTTCACCACAGAACATGCAATATTGGTAGAGAATCAGATGTTCATAGAAATAAAAACAAAATCTAACCACGAGAAGACCATGAGGGACAGTCAAAATATGGGGTCAAGAGAACCTTTCAAACAAGAAAAAAGCCCCTTAGAACCTCCCAGTGATAAAGGAATTCATAGCATATGCAAAGAACTGAAATAATATTATGATCAAAGTAGATAGCAAGAGAAATATGGTGAAAAATATACCTGGAGAAGTTTATTTCATGCTAACAACTTTGTCTGTAGAAGATTGTTATAGTTAATCCATATCCTCCATGATCCTATTGCTCCTTGAGCTTCATGGCTGAAAATATTCGCCATCAGTTGTTACTAAAATGCTGTTCACCCCAACTGATATTTTATTAAGCACATATTCAGTGAGAGGAATAAACATGGAAATATAGTGATTATTTAGAGGGACATGATGCCTGCTCTTATGAAACTTGCAGTTGTTAGGGCACAAAGGAAATCATCCCGTGCCCCTCTGTGTTTGTCTAGGGCTGAGATATAATCAAAACAGTATCAGGCAGCCTTGCAAAGGGAAAATGATCAATTTAATAACACATGTATGGAAAAATCACATGACAATAATTTCTAAAGAATAATGGAAGGGACCAGGAACACTTATCCTGAATTTTAGCACCTGGGGCATCAAGAACAGAGAGGCGCTGTCTCATGACAGACAAGAAGGGAGTCACCTCAATCTTATTCTGAGAGAAAAGATAATATTCTTGGAACATGCTTACAGATCTGAAGGAGACCCCCAAACTGCATTCTTCTAGGTCATAAAAGGGAGAACAGTGATTGCTGCTTCTATCAGGAAAAGGGCAGATGCTTCGGACAAAATTGATCTCTTCTTTGATAATGGTTTAGACTCTACTATACTTAATAATGGAATTTTATGGTGTTCCACAAGCAATAATCCAGAAAGGGGAGGTGGGACTTGGGCAAAGACAGAGCCCTCAGTGTTCTCCTACCAAACAATCTCCATCCTTTAAGTAGGAAGAACAGACCTCCATGCTCACAGGGTCTTGACTGACATCTAGTTCCCATACCAAAATCACAAAAAGCCTATTCTGGGGCTATTGAGAAATGTCTATCTGACACTTGTGGGGGCACTGACCCCACACAGTCTATCAAAAAAAAAAAGACAAAACTTTGAATAAATATAGGTTGCCAAGTTAGGAGAAAGGGAGGACAGGGTTTATGACAGGGGAACAATTTCAGTGGGGTGAGTTAGGAATGTTTTCCTGAAAAAGTGATTTAAGTTAATGTATGAAGGAAAACCAGAGTTAAAAACCACAAGATGTCCACTACAGATAGTAAGGAAGAAAGTGGCAGGAGGAGAAATTAATGAGAGACAGCATGCAGGGCTTGAAATCTCAGCAACTATTTCTGACAGTGAGAACTCACTTATTTTTGCTCAGCCCTGGGTGGTTGCGTTTTCACACCTCTACCAACCCCAACCTGTGGAAAACATGCATTTTGGGAAATTAGTCCTGTGTGCAGGAACTCATCAACGACAGGCTGACATTAGCCTGGGTCAGGGACCATATGAACTGTCGAGAAAGGGCCACTCTTGCTCTTCCCTGGGGCTCCAAGGGACTGGAACACCAAGAGCAGGAACATACTCATTCTTGAAGGACTCTCTCCATATCCTTAGATCCCAATAAAAGCAGTGAGGTCCTGCCTCTGGGCTCAGGGCGATCTCAACTGGGGGTGGAGAGGGCTGGTAATCATGATCAGCTCTCCTTTTTCTGCTTTGTCTTTAATTTTTCTCTTTGGGAAACGTGCATGGAAATACATAAGCCCTTTTGCTCCCTTTATACTCCCAGGGAAGGAGGATTGGATGGGATTGGAAACAGGAGGCTGAACCAGATAGAATGGTGGAACTAGCTGAAATGGGACTCACTGTGGTTATAGGCTTCCAAATATTCCAGTTCTCTGCACTAGTCTGACAAGGAATAACTTGCTCTGATTCTCTCCACAACCTCCATCCCTCCTGGGTTGCAGCTCTGCTTTACACTGAGTCTCAAGTAAAAAACAAATAGGCATTGGAGGAGATATAAGAAAAATTAAAATCAATCCAATACTGCAAAATCCTGAGCACTTTATGGTTAAAATTGTTTACACATCACAGTACATAATGTTGGAGTTGTCTGGTGTTCCACAGGGAATAATTGTGTATTTCTCACATGGGCATATTTCTCACATGGCCTAAAATGTGACATTGTCCTAGGTTTGTGTCTTAATATGTTACATCCGTTGCTGGATTTTTACCAGTTACATAGAAAAGAATGGTTATACTAAAGCATACATTAAATTAGTTGCATCTCAGGAAATCAAAACCCTTGAAACAATAGTTTTAAGAAAAAAAGCATGTTTTATACAATTTCATTAACATTCAAGATCTCCTTAGTAAAAGGTATTTATTATTTTGAAAAAGTTTTCATTTCAAATAACTATCCTGCTGAGCTAAGTGATGTGGATATCACTTTTCTTGACGAAAGGAAAAAAAAAAACTAAGCCATATTTTCTAACATTTTTCAGTAGGATTTATAGTACAGTTTAGTCCAAGGAGTCATTTCCTACTTAATGCATTTTAAATTATTTGTGTTTATTTTAACCTCTTTTCTATAAATCTGCAGGCATTCTGGCAAGCCAAGTATAGGCATTCTGGTGGTTATTTCTCATTCAAAGAAAGGGCTAGGTTTGTTTCGAAGGGGATATCTTGGGTGGGAAGGTCACTGTAAGTCACACAATGATAGTTTTTAATACAACATGGTGATAAAAAGCTTTTTGGAACTCTTTGGGGTCATCACTTTATTATCACTGGGTGTCATTTTTACCTCTTCATTTGTTGATAGACTATCTCCTGGTGCTAAAGATTGATTACTCCTGCTGTACCCACATTTGCAAGCCAAGAGCTCTATCAGGTGCATTTCATCACCACTGAAGTCATGATCACTCATATAAAGAAGGTAGAACTTTGTGTCCCTGTGATTTAGCATTCCATGGGAAGAAAACAGCTCCTAAATCTAGAATTGTTATTGCATTTTAATAGCATCTGGGTGATTATCATTTCTTTACTTTGTCCTTCAAGTATAAGAAAAGATCAAGAATGTGCCTGCTCGTAGGATAAAGCTCAGCTCTTTAAAAATTTTGTTTGCTGCCTTTTGAATGAAGCTGAGTCTAGACAGGTAATATAGCTCCATTAATATCAGTTTAATTCTTTTAAAGTAATTCAGAGAATGATTACCATGGAGTTGATCAGAATTTTCTCACGATAATAGAATAGGTATTATATAGCCAATGAACCTTAAAACTTTTGGAACGTGTCACCTATTATCATACAGAAATATGATGGATATGATGGATGAACACTACTTGAAAACTTTTATCAACTAAAAGGAAGTTTAAGGAAAAACCAGGAGGTTGTTAGTGAAATTATATTACTCCATTGTTACACAGTTTACTAAGCAAGTACTTTGTAAATATCACTCTGTTTGTGCTAAGGAAATCTTCATGTTAAAATATTCACCAAGTAAGTGATTTTTCAACCATACTAGACCCTTTTGGTAGTAGACATTTTATGATGCCTAATTTAGTAATCTCAAATTAAATTCACAGATAATGCCTACAGATTTTAAAAAATCTGTAAATGCCATAACTATAATACATGGGCATATAAGGAAAGTACATGATAAAATAATATGTAATTTGTAAATGCTCTGACACCACTCTGCTGATAGACAAAAAACACCCTCCAAAATGTTGAAATCACCTGGTAGGTAGCAGGGCCAGCCCTTTTCAGAACCAGGAAGCATGCAGTTCCCACAGGTCTGGGAAAAGACCCATTTTAATCTTTACTATATTTTATTACTTGTTACTATTCCTTATTGTTCTTTATCCAGTTTTAGACATGGTATTTATCATGGACTGAGTGTTCAATAAATATTTATACAGTGAAAGCTGAATGAGCTACAGGGAGAAACCCCAAACCTTCATCAGGAACTTACCTACTTGGACCGGCAGCTCAGTTCAGTCACGCACAAAGCAAGGCTTTGGTTCCCTGCGTTCCAAGAGCTGGTTGCTTGGCGCCAGCTGTGAGCTGAGATGGGCTACGGTGGGTCTCAGGCACTGGGCAGAGGAGTTAACGCGCTCCAGCACCCGGTGCTCTGCCTGCCTCCGTGCCGGGCTGGGCCAGGGGCAGCAGGCAGATTGGTACTAATGCCCTGTACTCAGGGACCTGTCATTCCACTTTCAGAACTCTGGACGGATGGTTAAATGCATATTCCCAGGCCTGATCTCAGCTATTCTTCTGTATTTTAAGCAAGTGCTAGATATAAGTTCTGATGTAGCTCATGGGTTTCACTTTAAGAAAGAGCTTATAGGGGTGGACAAAGAACCTAATGTGTTTCTCCTGTGAATTTTCAGTATTTGGAAAAAGAATGACAACCCCTGGGTGAATTCTAAGAACCTCTTGAAAAGAAAATTCTTATAGTCATTTTTTAAAAAAGGTGAATGCAAAATATGACAGTGTATAATTTTCAAAATTCATTTATAAGACTGATGTGTTTGTAAAACTATTGTTTTAACATTTTTGTGTCAGTAAAAATAGTCTTGATTATAGGTGGTACAATGGTGTTTGCTTCTTTTGCTAGTACTGTAAGTGAAAAAGTATTGAGGATGGAAATACATTGAGGAGAAAAAAGTTGTTCTGCTTGTAAGATGAATTTTTTTAGGGGGGATTTTTTTGAATATATAAAATCTAGTCTTTCCCCTTTCTTTCCTGTTCCTTGTCATCTTTATAAAAGCCATGGACTTAAAAATGGTGATGAAAAGCATAATGTAATAAAAAATTAGTTATATCATTCATTAGAAACTTTAAAAGTTGTTTTATTAATACTATCTTATATAAAACTTATTTCTAGGAATATTTTTTATTGTCTTACAATTTTTTTTTTAAAGAAACACTTTAGGATTAACCAAAAATGTTTACAGTTTTTCTTACTAGGTTAATATTTCATTTTTATGTGCTTTGCTTGAAGTTTTTAACCATAATTAAAATCATAATGTCTCTCATGACACATGTCCTTCGAATAGTACATACATCTGACAAAATTTCAAACATACAGTAGCTGCCCTGGTCATAAGCAGAGCAGTTTAGTTCTCAATACATCAAAGATATACAAATACAGGCTTTTCGGAGCTATATATTTGAATTCACTTTTTAAAAAGATAATTGGGCAGAGGCAAAATAAAAAAAACTTTCCAAATTTCACTATAGCACATCACAGAGATGAAAATAGAGAGGAAACACTTCCTCTGGTAAATGAAGACCTAGAGTTGTGGATGATTCCATTACCTCTTTCTTCAGGTGCTGGGTCTCCACCCTATCACTCACTCACTGCCAGCCCAAAGCTCATCCTCATGAAAACAAATCAATGAATAAAAGTATTTTAATCTTAAATTATAGAGCCCATGTATTTTTAAAATAAACATTCAAATTAATCACAAATTTATACATTGTAAAAAGCAACCACTTGATAGCTCAAATAATAACTGTCTGAATGATGCTAAAAAATCAGTTTCATTAATTTTCTGAACTGAATTTTTTTTTCTTTTTTAAACTGGTTTTAGTGTTATGCATACCAATTCTTTTTTTTTTTTTAATTGAATGCCCATGCAATTTCTAGGACCCTAAGAATTAGAGTTTGACTTCTTAATATTAGTAATTGCCTTAGCAAAATCCAAATGTTCAGCTTGTTGTTTCAAGCTTGTAAATAATAAGGTAGTTTCCTTTTTGTTCTTGGGACTAGTCCTCTAAGTTAAGATAAACTTAAAATAGAAGACTAAATGGAGACATTAATAAAAATGACCCAGCATGTGTTCTATTCAAATAAATGTTTTTAACATCAGCAAATGTAGATTACATGGACTTGCTGTTGTTCACATGAGTCAAAACTAAAGAAATTAGGTACATCTACACAAAAACAGGCATGCACAGAGGACTGAACCAGAGCAGCTGACAGCTGTGTGTGGGACTGATCCAAACTGAACTACAAAGTGAAAATGTGTGAAGGCTCTGTGCTCGTGACATTGACCGACTGTCACAGAGAGCCGTGACATGACACAGGCAAAGGTCCCTCCTGCCTCGTGTTGCACTGAGAGTCCAAGATGTTTGGCAAGTGGGCCCTGAAGTCCTGACCAGAGAATCCAAAATCATCACCCATGGAGCTTAATTCTGAATTTCCGGCCCAGACAAAACTCCGATTAAATTCAATGAGTGTTTCTCATTTTAGAAAGCTGTGCATGTGCATGCCATGTTCTTTTCTTAGATAAAAACATACCCACAGCTCCTTCCATACAAAATGAAACCAAACACATTTAGAACACATGTAAGCCATTTCTCTATGGGAAAGGCCATTTGTGGTTAACACAGAAAGTATTTATGGTTTCACTGTTAATTGTGGTTTCTTTGTATTAGCCAAAAAAGGTAGCATTTTTCATGGTAGGAATAGTATGAAAGCAATAGTCTTTCTTAAAAATGTCTGCATTTTCTGGGGCATGAGGAAGTGACTGAGTTTATGATATCTTCTAAACACTAAAGGAGTATATATAGCCTACAATTGTGTTTTCAATTTGAATAAAAGTTTATTTAAAATGGTCTTAATTGCTCTTTGGTACATTTCCACAAGTCAAGTTTATATAATCAACATTATGTAATACTTAAGGCTTGGATGCATTTTAGTTTTTCTATTTATAATTGTTATCTAGGGATATTAAATTTCCTTCTGGACTAACGCTATATTTGAACAATGTCAATTATATTTTTTGGGAAATTAAATAATTAATTTTACAAATGTTAATTTGTAAATGTTAATTAATTTAATCAATTCAGTGGCCTTCCTTCTGCCCTCCCTTCCTTCTTTCCTTTTTTTTTTGAATAAAAATTGAAGAATCATTAAGTATTGAAATATTTTAATTAATGCATATTACTAAAAGTATAATTTCAATTTTAGACTATTTTGGCAAGGATTCTATAATGTGGGTGAGTGAATTCAAAAGGTTAATTAAATATGAACAGAGCTAGATTCATTAGTTAGAATGTATGTTTGTGGGAGTCTGTATACTAATATTCTTTTTATCAGGCATTTCCACAAGGGTTATGTTTTTACAAATGAATGCATCACCTGTATATTAGAAGGTGGAAAGAAAAGACAATTGTGATCATTAGTTTAGTAACCAGAATGTTTAGAAAGGTTAACAAGTTTTTCTTAAGTATTCTCTAGTATATTTTATTATTTCCTCATTATTCAATTTTATTAACAATTCTAAAGGAAGAAATGATATATAAATATTAGATTATCTTATTAAATTCCATAAGAAAAAGCAAGTCATTACACGATAAATGACCCTAATTGCCTCTTTCTGTGTATGAGAAACATTCTTTATGAAAATGTTTGAAGTATAATTTATCAATTTAATCACATACATTTATGTATGTTTCATGAATGTATGTGAAATTGAGTATAAACGAACATTTTATGATATGAAATGCAGTTTTCCAAAGATCTGCACTTACTCAAAGATCCTGTAAAAGGCTGTTAACTTTGATAAATACTGCCGTGCCCATTGCTAACCATTTATATAATTCTGCATTTTAATTTAATAGTTAACTATTAAATTAACTATTAAATGGGTACATTTAAATTGCACCAGTATTAGTATTTTAAATATTTCCAGTAAAATATTTCAAAGGTTTTTGGTTTTTACTATGCCTGACTTTTCTCGTACAAATAGAAAATTACACTGAAATCTATTATTATATGTGAAATTTATTAACTTTGATTTGTTGATATGCTAATAAAACTTTCTACTACTCAAAATTTCAATATATTTTATTCAATGTATAATATTGAAAATGAGTGAAATATGTTTGACACCATATTTATGTGCACTTTTGTAAGGTATTTAAGCAGATATTGATAATCATGGGATATGTCTTTCATGTACTCTTGTGACTTTTGTTTTGAAAATAATTGAGTGAAAAATATTTTAAGGGATAATATTCATGAAAATAAATGTTGATCTGTGAAGTCTTACATAAAAGGAATAAAGCCTCAGATTAAAACTTAATTTTAATAAATATGTTCTATTTTCTCTTTATGTTATTAACATCAGATGCAAATCATTTCTGAACCCAGATAGAGTTTTTTGTTTGGCATAGCAGAATATAAAATGTTCTTTTCCCTATTATTTTCATGTATACACAAATTTTGATGTAAAATAACTAAGGAACAAAAACAGACTTTGCTAATAATTTTGTATTTTCTATAGTTGTAGGCAATAAGGGGTAGGAATCAAGCAGAAGAAAAATCCATGCAAAAGATTTTCATTTCTTGCTGTTCACAAATTTGTAGAAATAGGAATACTTAGCGCCCACATATTTGTTAAGCTTTAAAGTCACATTTTTTCCAGCGGGGATTTCTTACTTTCACTGAAGCCTTATTGAGAATCCTTAAAGCATTGCAATTCTGTTTTTTCCTAGTTATCTGCTTGCATTGTGCACGTCAGACTGTAGGGGGCACTCCTCAGCTACTGCAGAGACAATCTGCGATCAGTCCTTTTTGTGGTTCTGAGACATATTTAATATTCATTATTTTATCAAGACATTTAGTCTGAAAAGACTTCACAGTTCATATTTAAAACACAGATAGCCATAATTCAGTTAAAAAAGACCTCACATAGCTATCAAGGTGGGCATTTGGATTCCTGAGGATGTTAAGACAACTTTATAATCCTGCATTGTGTCTGGGTAAATCAGTACTTTTCAAATCTCTCTTCTTGTTATTCTTCTCTCTTAGAGTTCAGGGTAGATTTTATAATTCCAAATTTTTTTTATTACTATACTTTAAGTCTGCTGTTTTTGCCTTGATGACTCCCAGAGAGCAAAGTGTGGAAGGACCATGATTTACATTTGGAAAGAGCAACCACAGAGTTTTTGCATAGAATTATGTGCCCTGCACTGCAGCTTATCTT